GGAGTGGAGTAGGACACAGAAGGAGAACAAGACAAAATAGAGGAGAGTTCGAGTGAAAGAAAGGAAGGAAAAGAGACAGGAGAGAGATTACAGGACATTACTAGTGAGGAAAACATAAACAAAAGGACAACAAAAGTGTAATATAGGTAATAAAAAACTATAAGTTTATAGAATAAGAAATTATAAATAATTTAGCTCGGGTTAGATAGGGAATTAGGAAGGATTTTATAAATTTATAACCTGTTACTACAATATACGAATTTCAAACTCAATTAAAACAATACTATTTTAGTTTTTTTAACAAAAGCAAAGAAACAAAATTAATTACATATTAAACATTTTCTTCACAATNTTTCTTGTAGATGTCTTGAGAAAGGAAATAAACATTTCCGAAAGCTTGACAACAACACAGAGTGTTCTTATTACATTAGCCCTTAGCACTATTGACTGCAATCCCAAATATATATATATTATAAAAAAGGAACCGATGGAAAAGTGGTGGAAAATTGTATATTCCTGACAGTGGTAGTAACTTATTTTTATGTGTAATTTCGTACAATTATGGTATGTTTTGATTGCGATAGAGAACGGTTCTAATTAGTTGACCATTCCATTCATAAGAACATGTAAGCCAAGGCATACTAACAATATAGTTGGGTAACTATTCAGAACTGTTCTTGGACTGTCCGCTGAGAGAACCAAAACAGGCCTTACGGAGCAGATCATTTTAATTAATTTGAAATTAATTATAATAATGTTATTATAAAACAGCTAGTGGTGTATAGTAAAAAACAAAACTGGATAAACCAGAATTCGAAAATAAACTATTAGGTAGATATGTTGAATTTTAGGAATAAAAAACTAATGGAAAATGTAAGTAACTGATTTTTTATAATTGGGGCATAGAATTCAATTTTCTTTAGTATTTATTCTGCACTGTACAAGACCAAAGGTGAATAAATAAGAAAAATTATAATAAAAATCCTAGTACTTTGGTTCATGGCCATTTCATCAGCAATTAGAAGAAATCAGCTGTTAGAAAAAACGATGGTAGCTTAATTATAATTTCAGGTCCATATTAACGAAAAGTGGTTATTCAGTTGAAATTCAAGACGAGATCTGTATAACAGCTTAGTTCTTGTATATTGCTACTTCAGTATGCTTGTGGTTTACAATAGCAATCTGTTTCTGATAATTTTGTTCAGAATTTCTTTCGGTGAGATCTTGTACAAAGGTATGTTAATTTTTTTAAACTATTCATTTCAAACGAAATCTCTGTAATTAATGTAAATTATTATAGACAGGATATCCTCACTCGAAAACCTTCATCAATTGTTTTGCCCACTTGAAGATAATATAACTATAACACCGAGACAATCGCTTTATGTCAATAGTTCGAAGAGAAAACCAGGAGAAATAAGCAAACGAAGTAAGTATATGCATGTATACAGAGTGAATCTTAAAAATATATACAGGGTGTCCCACCAGGAATCGCCACTATCGATATCTCGGAAAGTACTGATCCGATAAATCTCAAAATTTGACAACCCAGCAAAGGCAGTAGGGCCTACACAGCTAAAATTTAGAACTTTATGGCGCTTCCGGTTATATAAGGAAGCCGGCATTAACTTCCTTATTTTAAACAAAATACCCTATTGTTAGAAATAAAACATTTTTAAAGTTTTATTCCCGTGAGTGCTCAATATTCAAACAAATTCCGATCTATTTTTTTCAGGATATGCATACAAATACATCTGACATGCTCTTTCACAGTTGCGGTAACAGATTTAATAAATTCCGGTAATATTACACTGATCTTCAGTTTCAACCCTTGCCAAAACAAAAATATTTTTGAACATTTACTGAAATTTTTTAAAGAAAAATATTCAGTTGGCCTTTTGGTTGTTCATATGCATTTTTAAGAATTAATTTGTCATAATAAAATTAAAATTGTAATAATGTTTTAATTTTGACGCAACAACTTATTGAGTTATGTATGACCAAGTGATGGTAATAGTTAATAANAAACTATTACCAGCACGCATTAAAATAAAAATTTATTAGAGTTTTATTCCCGTGTACATAGTTATTTCTAGGCTTCTTGAGTGCTCAAAATTCAAACAAATTTCGATATATTTTTTTCAGGATATTCATACAAATACATCTGACATGCTCTGTCACAGTTGCGGTTACAGATATAATATATTCCGATAATATTACGCTGATCTTCATTTTCAACCTTTGCCAAACCGAAAATGTTTTTGAACATTTACTGAAATTTTTTAACGATTGGCGTTTTGGTTGTTCATATGCATTTTTAAGAATTGATTTGTCATAATAAAATTAAAATTGTAATAATGTTTTAATTTTGACGCAACAACTTATTGAGTTATGTATGATCAAGTGATGGTAATAGTTAATAATAATAATAAATGTTTTATTGTAACGCGTGGTGGTAACAGTTTAAATAACTAGATGGATTTCACAGGGCCTAACGACACTTACAGTATATGATAAATCAATAAACAAAAAATCTAAATAAAAAATTTAGATAAATTTGGAACGAATATACTGAAGATGAATTTTTCTGGACAAAATGTGTGAATCTGGTTCGGGCTGAGACAGTACAGTATTGGGGGTCATGAAAGCTTGTAAAAAATGTAATAAAATATCCAGGGTCGCATTTAAAAAAATCAAGTTGATGATGGTCTTGGAGAGACGAAACGTTACATTAAAAATTGATTACGCCGTTCGATAGAGGGCAAAAAGTGACCATTAGAAAGTGTTCTTCTTTGTTCAATATCACCTCAAACAAGGCTGAAATGAAACAAAAACGGATTTCCAAAATTTCGTTTTTTTTTCAAATATTTCGAACTAATCATGTTAGCATTGAGTTTTTAGAGGCATAATTTTGGTCCCCTGATTACGCAACTTTGCCTCCATTTAAGCTACTTCGTACCTCTTACTGTTTCCGAGATTCCTGTAATGAGAAGCGAATTTGTAACAGTCTGTATATGTAAATTTTAAACTATTGAAATTGTTAATTTAAAAAGTTTAAGTTATTAATTTCTATTTTAAGAGTAAAATTAATAGGCAAATTCTTTAAACTAATGTTCAGGTTTCAATTTAATTACCATTCTACAAATTAATATAGCATCAACATATCTCTACCAATATTTTATTTTTGTGAATATTAATATTCGAGAAAACGATCAATTTTAAATAATTAATAAAAAATATCCGATAGCAAAAATGTAATTTTTTTACTTATTATTAAAAAGTTTGTTTTATTTTATTTATTGCAGTTTTTTACCCTGATGTTGGCATAACAACTGAAACTGTAGGAAAAAAATTAATGCTCATAATTTTAATTATATAGCATATATTTTAATCAGATCAGTTAATTGTATGTAGATATACACTTGAGATTTTCCCTATGAAGTTAAACATAATATAAAACTGTCGTATACAACAACGAAACAAACAAATTCTATCTATTTCTGATGTCGATATTCTTTATTTTTTCTCAATTATAGAATGTATTAACTACCTTATGTGCTCTTCATATGGAACTTTCAAAGGAGCTAGAAATTATCCAGGAATTGGTATGCATCCGGGATATCATTCGTATATCAGCGGTGGAATCAGTTCATCTGAAAGCGAGTTTCCACACATGGTAAAAACAAATGTTATAAATGTACCGGGTGATTTTCTATGTCCACCCACCTTGTTTATTTGGGGCAGCAAAATTTTGTAAAAAATGTGAGCTCGTTGGATTTTTTTCTGTACTATTTACAAACATATTAATATACTTACATGGTAGATCAAAAAGTATACTTTTTTTTTAACGGGACACCCTATATCTGAATTAATTTAGGTATTGATTATTCGTTTAATTCTGGGGTGAAAATAAGTCGATTTAACCTAATATACCTATGTCCCAAGTCGCATAATAAAAAAGATACAGGGTGTCAAAGTGAAAAATAATAAATAGTTTTTCCTTAATAATTTCTACAATTTGAGTCAGAAACGTTTCAAATTTTCAACAGAGAGATCTTTTAATGATGGGAAAAATAATATAATAATGATTTTTGAGTGTCGAGTACGAGGCGCCCTCTGCAGGCAACGTTATACATTGAATATGTAGTAACTTTTTTGACAACCCCCGCATACAGCTTTTAGTAACAAAATATGAAATATTGGACTTTTTTAAACAAAAAAGGTATACTTAT